AACTAAGCAAACATGCATTGCACGTTACTTGCACCTAGTATATATATAACCCTGTAACCAAAATTATAATTGTATATGAATAAATTTTAGTTTACCATTTTTTAAAAATAAAATATGAAATAAATACAATTTAATATAGAATAAAGAAACAAAATATACTTACAATATTATGCCCTGTTTGACACCTATTTTTTTCTCATTCTATTTCTCTTTCTTTATTTCAATCACACATTCTATTAATAAAATAATATTACACATAAACTCAAAAATTTTTCTTACTTTTTAATCACACAGTCTTTAATTAGTCACTATTCTAAAAATTATTTTTCAAACAAAATGGGTGTCAAACAATTGGACATCTCAAAAATGTTTGAAGACCACCTTCATGTTCTTTGTAGTATGCAATTACATTCGTTTGAAAATGAAGATTATAAGCTAGCCATGCATTATGTAAATTACGTGGTATAATAATAATAATAATAATAATAATAATAATAATAATAATAATAATAATAATGTAGAGCTAGATATTGAAAGCTCTTTATTGAATTGGTATAATAATATTAACACTAAATATATTATGAAATTAGAAAATTTTCAATTAAACAATTAGAACAATAATTAGAGCAAAAGCAGTGTGACGAGACCAGAAGTTGGGTAAAAATTGAAGACATTGGCACTGCCTTTTTTATAGGCAAAATCAAAATGCAAAGAATTTGAAATGTCAGGAAAAAAGTTTTCAAAAATTCATTTTGAATTTATAGGCAGACAGAGAGAGCGACTGCTGAAATGACCAATGTTGCAGAAAATTCAGCAACAATAGACAAATTCAGCAAATTTACTGTATTTGAACAGGCCTTGACGGCTAGCTCGCGAGCTAACTTGTACGAGCATACGAGCGACTTGCACGAGAATCCCTAACTCAGCACGTGTTCGCATCTCATCTCAAACGCGAAGCGAGCTTGTCTAGCTCTTTAGCGGAGCGGGGCGAGTCGAGTCGAGTCGAGTCAGCGAGCAGCTCCCTCCACTTAAATATATATTTTTCTCTACATTGGAACAAGACAAGTATCCTTTCATCTTATCAACTGTGTAAAGATAATGTTATTAATCAAGTTTGGTACAATCGTAATTTTTAATTAAATTGATGAAAAAGTCTTACGAATTGAAATATTGAATCAAACTAAGGATCATAACTCTATTAAATTCAATTATCAAAAATAAATATATTTTCATATTTATAAATAAGTTTATTAAGGTTACGGGTTTTATCTTAAAATATCACCCTTGTAAAGAAGAGTATCCCAAACTTTTATACATTGCTTATATTTCGGTATTCAATGTATGTGTGGCCTGCAATATGTTATTAAGAGGAGTACACAAACCCTTACATGTTAATCTATATTTTGGTACTCAACAAATGTGGAATTTATTGCTTAACATCGTAAGATAGTGTCTGGTTTGAACTTGGATTCTGATATCATTATCAAGAATTGTGATTCCAAATTAAAATGCCATCCTTGTTAAGAGTGATAACTCAAGTACTTGCATGTTGGTCTACATTTCTATATTCAATCGATGTAGAATTTATGAGTAGTGCTACATGTACATAAATATCTACATAAGGGTTTACATAATTACTTTAAGAATTATGTACCTCTAACATTATTCAGAATTTATTTCTTAACAGGCTTCGTAAGATAGTGTTAAGATGAATTGTTCAAACTCTTATATGTTAATCTATATTTCGATACACGACTGATGTTAGATTAATTTATATATTAACGTGCACAGCGAGTTGGTAGTTCATTTGAGTTTTACGGGTCATGATACGCTATTAAGAGTTGAAGTTTTATCTTAAAATGTCAACCTTGTTATGAGAAGTAATCTAAACCCTTATATATTGTTCTATATTTCGATATTCAACTAATTTGAGATTTATCCCTTGACAGAGTTAAACTTTAATTAGGCAACATGGTTCAGAAAAATAATTTACATGCGATAATGGTTAGCAATACGAAACACGACATTTCAATAAAAATATATCGAAGAAATTCAAGTCGATTGAGAATCTGTTAAAACAACAGTCCCTTTATTAAAAAATTTGACCAATATAAAAAAATTGTAAACACATAATTCCATTAGGTGGGAAAATCATGCAAGCTCTCCCCAAAATTTAATGCTTTAATTTGACTTGTAAGAAAATAGTAATTGAATTATTTTAGCAGTTGGGGAGAATAGTCAGATTACCAATCGTGGATCAAAAGCTCCAGAAACTATCGTCCAAATTGTAGAACTTCTGCAAAGTCCTTTCGCAGAGTCACTTTCCAATAATCAATATACATCACATTATATAGTACGTTGCAATTAATAAATATTTTCATTTTTATTGCAATTGGATCATGACATTCATTTTAAAAAATCAATCTTGTCAAAGTGAATTGACCAAGCTCTTGTATGTCTGTTATTAATATATACTTGACCGACATGGAATTTACCGTAAAATGATGACTCGTATAAGCAAATCATTCTTTTAATTTGAATGTTAATTTCTTTTTCATAGGTTCTAATATCATATTAGACTTAGATATTCCATTTTAAACCGTCAAACCTTATTAGAGAAATAGCACAAGTTTATCTCTTAACATTTGAAAAATTAAGAAATA